TTCTGACCGAGAGTGACTAAAATCATGACCGAGCGTGGCTCAAATTCTGACCGAGAGTGACTAAAATCATGACCGAGCGTGGCTCAAATTCTGACCGAGAGTGACTAAAATCATGACCGAGCGTGGCTCAATTTCTGACCGAGGGTGACTTGAGCATCATGACCCACGGGCCGAGGGTGACTTGAGCATCATGACCCACGGGTGACTTGAGCACCATCAACCCACCAACAATAAGACAAAAAAAGATTATAAGGGACCAAATTAAGTTTTTAGCCTAAATTTATTAAAGTCATCAGAGGGAGGGTCTGCTTCCACCTCCATCCACACTCCCCCGAATCCGTCTCTAAAAATTTTAAAAATTAAATGATGCTAATGGTATATCACCGTGATAAACGAAGTTTGTTAAATTAGTCAATAATAATAAATTTATTATAAATTTATATAATTTTTTCATGAAATACTTTTTTTTTATCAAATCATAAATTACTTATTCAAACTCAAATATAAGTACAAACAAATTTATAGTTTTTTTTTATTTGATAGACAAATATTAGAATAAGTAAGATATATTAGTTGGAAATTAAGACTCACTCACTTCTTATCATTTCAATCTTATATCTTTTTTTCAAAATCATCCGGACCATCTTATAACTTCTAAAATCCATGAAATTTACACCTAAAAATATGCAAATTTTAACTATTTTTATTTTGGTGTAAAAAAATATTTTTATTTTGTTTAATAATATTATCTCTAAAATATTTCTCATTTAATTGAAATTTTATTTTTATTGGCATCTTTTTATTCTTGGTTTCAATTTTTAGTGAGGACTAGGAAAAAATAATTTTTAATTAAAATAGCATATAAGTTAGATAAATTTACTTATAATTAAATCCTGACTCCAGAAAGAGTACTCCTAGCATCAAAGTTGGAAGAAGTATTCCCAACATTAACTATAAAACTCTTACTCTAATAACTACCCCAACATATTTTATCAATATTTTTAGATTGAAAAGCCACTAATTCTTTGGTAAATATTTTTATTTATTTAACATAATATTTTTCGTCATATCTCATTTTCATAAAGTTATAATCGAGTTTTCTAAATTTTTTCCTAATACAACTTATTTGTTAGTTTTTTTTAATAATTTTTATGAACTATTGTTGTTAATTTATTTTATCTTTATAAATTGTGTGTTTTTTTATTTAAGTATTATAAAATTTCTATTTAATCTCTATTTTCAAGAGATATGTAAATACTCAATTTACAAATGACGAACTAAAATTTCGTAACGTTTAAAAAGAATAAAAAAAAACATGTTTGATTTATTTAAAAAGAAGTTGGACAGAGAAAAGCATTAAAGCAAAGTGCCTTCTATACTCTATACTCGGTAGGCCCGTCTTTAATTTTGGAATTTCGTGATCAGATCCCCGAAACTCCTTTGAAGGGTTAAAATCAACGGTCCATGTGATCCGTTAGGCTTCGCATCACCGTCCATTTCGATAACAAAATCGTAAGGAGCAGACGTGCACGATGCACCATACTGGTGATTCACACGGCACCTGAAGCACCTAAAAAACAGAAAATCGGAATACAAATTTGGGCAGAAGAGGAAGCAAGAGCCAGAAGCTCTTGGATTGGATCACCGTTAACAATGTTTTCTCGATTATTTCATAAATCTTCACCGCAACAACACCAGAAGGTACGTGCTCAATTTCCTCCACAAATAAATGCTATTCCCGCTCATTGCAGATTCTATCGTCTTCCATTTTTTCTAACGGTTACGAATGTATGCGGTGAAGAATGTTAGGAATCCTTTCGTTTTTCGTTGAACAGTGCATTCGTATGATATGAGTTTCTATATGAATACAAATTTTGAAACTGATGTTGTTTCTGAATATTTTTCGTGTCTTTCCGCCGCAGGACGTGGTACAGGCGAAATTCGATCCGCGAGTTGTTCTTCACTACGGCGTTCCATCTACCGCGTCTATTCTCGCTTTTGATCACATCCAACGTCTATTAGCAGTTGGAACACTGTGAGTTATTGCTTGTTATTCGGCTTTGCGTTGGAACGGCGCGTTCGTTTCATATTTGCTGCCTTATCAGAATTCTCCGTTTCCAATGATACCGAAATGAAATTCCATTAGTTAGCAACTCTCTATTTTCGCTTAAGGTCAAGTGTATGATGCCTGCGTTCTATGCAGTGTATAGAGATTCATGCTTTTGGAACTAGCCGATAATATGTTATGCACTTTATATCTTTAATGTTATTAAAGGATTTTTTTATGCTTTATGTGCCTTTGAAATTGTATTATAACTATGTTTCATCATTCTTTTGTGATGATTGAGGAGTAGCTTAGATATAGAAACAAATGTAGTACGAACTTGTTTGGATACACGTTATAAGTATTTTTTAGGATTTTTCTACTAAAAAAACTTTTTATCTTTAATAGGAAAGCTTTCAAAAGCTCTCATATGTTTGTATCTAAATAGGCTTCACATTAGTTATTACTACATCGTGATGTTGAGAGCTAGACAATTTTGCTAAGGAGGTTGCTAGTGAATTTTTTAGTTGACTTTGGCATTTCCTTCCTTCCTGCAGTGATGGAAGGATAAAGGTGTTTGGTGGTGACAATATTGAAGGAACTTTTATCTCTCCCAAGCAAGTATCCTTCAAGAATTTGGAGGTTTGTAATTTTGGATCTTTGTTGAAACTTGAAACTAATGAGTAACATTTTCAGTTATTTAATCTTATATTTGTTTTTACCCTGATATTGTGTTTTGTTTGTTCTTTGAATGTTTGCATCTCTGGAATCCATGTATATGTAGTGATTTGTGTATGTTGTGCATCTGAATGCATGTTTAATGACCTAACGTTGTACATTTATTGAACTTTAGAAGTCAAATGAAATGATTTTGAGGAATTTCATGAATAATATTATATCTTATCCTTTTGCAAATCTCACAGTTCTTGGAAAATCAAGGCTTTCTTGTCAGCGTCTCAAGTGACAACAAGATAGAGGTACGTTAAAATTGTAGTAGGGTTCTTTTAAACTGGCTATATGACCAGACACCCTCTGAATATGCTTTTATAATTTTTTGGGGGTAAAATATGTCAAAATATCTCAAAATACAGTTTTATTCTCTATAAAAATATATGTTTTAGGTCCATACATTTTAACAGAAACACATGCTTTTAGTCGTCATGAGGGATTAAAACCATATCACTTTGGTAATGTAGAGACTCAAAACATATTAAAATTTTATTGCGACTAAAACCGAATTTCCAGATATTTTGAGAGACCAAAAAATATTTTACCCCTTTTTCTGGTATTCCACATGAACTTTCTTTCCTCGAATGCTTTTGTTGTTTTAAAATGGTTGACTTTTATACCTAGTTTTTCTCCCTTACTCTCATTCTCCCCTTGCCTCTGTTTCATTTACCAGCCAGCTCTGTGTGTTTCTGATAATGGCAGGTTTGGGATTTGAAGAGCAAACAAATTGCTTCTGCCTTGCAGTGGGAATCCATCATAACTGCTTTCTCTGTTATTTATGGCACCAATTACATGTAAAATACTTGTGCGGATGATTTTCTATGTGCATTTGCATGCTACTCTTTCTATTAAAATCTTGGTAAATGTGTTTATAACATTTTTACCCTCTTAATGAGATTCAGGTATATTGGAACAGAGCATGGGATGGTATATGTGTTGATTTTTGATCATGAAGACAGAAAAATTAAAATATTATCCTATTATGTTCCCACAAATGTTATATCTGGTAAGTACTCATTCTTGAAGTTCATTTATACCATATTTGAGTTGGAAGCAAGACTTGTATTTTTCCACCTGCCAAAGTGGCTGGCTTAAACTTAATAGAAGCATTGACTTTTTCTTTGGTTTGAATTTGGTATGTGAGGAGAGAAATTTTCTGATCCAAATTTCTGATCAAGATATAGGGCATCTTTCTCTTGATGAAGTTCATAACCCACCAACCACAAATTTTGAAATGCCCTTGTGGTTGTATACACAAGAAAAGTTGTTATTGCATGCTTGGTGTAATCCATTAACTTTCTTGACATGGGCGATGTGTGTCACTCAGATTATGAGTTAAGGCCTTAAAGTTGTAAGTTTATAACTACTGAAATTTTGTATAAATGCATATGATAATATACAGGATGTCAGGATCTAATATTCTTTTTTGGCATTTTTCTAAGATCCATGCCTGTTTACATGTTATATATATGTTCTATATCCACTCGACTTGAAACTTTAAGCTGTTAGGTGAAGACATAAGAATTTATTTAATTTTATATTTAATCCATCCCTTCCTCTATGCGAAACTCATTTAGGCTTAATCTGTAATTAAAGTGCAGATCCAAAACTAGCTTATGTTGAAATAAAAAGTTTATGGTTTATTCAAAGAGGCTTTTATACCAGGTTAAGGAATCGCATGACCAAAAAGTGTAAAAGCTTTAACTATTAGGTAAAGAATTGTTTGGAGTTTTAGGATAATGGTGGTGATGTTTCTTGATCCTTTATAAATTGCTATAGATCTTCATTAATCAACTTATGAAAAAGCCTTGTGATCATCTTCAATGAAATTTCCTTATTGGAGAAGATTATTGTTGGCATGTCATAAATGTATCATAAGTTCCTACTCCTAGCCATAAGCATGTTGTTAATATCTAATTTAGATTTGTTTCTACACGTGGGTAATCATATGGTTTCTCTAAGTCTAACATCTAACTTGTTACTAAATGTTGCTCACCTTTGCAGAAGCAGTTGGGATGTTACTTGATCAGGTTTCAGTTGTCAGAGTTCTCCATCAACCTTGCTCTGATGGAAACAGGCAAGACAGGAACATACTTAAAAGTTTCTCTAATTGATTTCCTTATGTTCTATGAAGGAATTGTGAGACATGAGTTTTAGGTAATTTTGCATCTCTGTCTAGGCTAGTTGATCTTTCTATTAAATCGTCAGATATTTGGGCCTTTTCTAAATCACGAGTAGGAGTTTGAGTTTCATCAATATCTATATAGGTTTGACCATAGAACTCAGTTGGTTTATAACCATAGGACCAAATGTCTTACATAGTGAAGTTTGAATGCAGTATATATGCAATACTTTAGCCATGTTTTTAGGGGAAAGTAAAGTTTTATTCACTTTTGTTGTGCAGCAAGGCAATGGATTACACTTAAGGATTCTCCAATTCAAATTCAATTTTATTTGTTCAGGGTTTCTTCTTTTTGAAATATACAAATGGAGAATAAACTCAATCCAGATATAATTCAACATGGAGTATCTTCCTTGTTTCAACATGGTGTATTGAAAACATCATCACAAAATTAATTTATGACGTGTTTAACATTCATTGACAAATATCTAAGATACACATTATGTAACACACATATATTTTCATAAAGATTAATATGGGAACTTAACTTTTGTATTAATATGTATGGTATGCGTGTTTTTACTTGATTTAATTGAAATTGTCATTTTGCAGACTGCTAATTGCATATGAAAATGGTTTGATGGTACTCTGGGATGCTTCTGAAGATCGAATTGTTCTCATTAGAGGCCACAAAGATATCAAATTGAAGAGAAAAACAGTGGCTAGTTATCCAAATGACCCTATGGTTAAGCTTTCTGATGATAAATTAGACCATGGAGAGGAGGATAAGGAGATAAGCTCTGTGTCTTGGGCATCTAATGATGGATCAGTTGTTGTTGTTGGTTATGTAGATGGTGATATAATGTTTTGGGATTTGTCAACTGCTGACTTTACCCCAGATCAACAACTTAAAAACTTGTTGAATAATGTTGTCAAGCTTCAATTATCATCAGCTGATAGAAGACTCCCTATTATTGTTCTACATTGGTGGGTCAATAATAGTGGGGGAAAACTTTTTGTCTATGGTGGTCATGATATTGGGTCTGAAGAAGTTCTGACAGTAAGCTTCATGGTTCATAGCATAGTAATAATTGAAAACATCATAGCATCTATCATAATGTTAACATTTGCAGGAGGTGATGCTTAGACGAGAAAAACTTTCCTTTGTTTAGGTTATGTTTGTGGTGTTTGAATATAATAACAGCCAAAGAAGCCATAATCTCACTAAAAGCCATGATAATGAGTGCCACTAGTTCAAGTTGTCGCAACATCCTATCTCACGCAACTAACATGTAGTCTTGTGAATGTTTTAGAGGGAGTTTAGGTGAAAGAGGAAGTGAGCTGGAGACAACACTTGGGCTCAGTGGGCTAAGGCCTAAGGGTGGAGATCGTGTGAGGTGGCCTCTTGGTAAACAAGAGATTAGAAGAAACATTGACAAGGATCTATGCTCACTTTGAGAAAGATCAATTCCAGGTTTTTCATTGAAGGATTAGATTGTCCAATTCCTACCAAACAAACAACACTAAAAAAGAAAGAAAGCAAATGGTCCTAGATGAATACCATAAATTAATATTGGTCTGTGCTTCTTTATTCTCTTGGTGCTTTGCTTTTGTTATAAGTGTTCAATGTACGTTTCATCATTCTGATAAAGTTGTGTTGCCTATTGAAAAGAAAAGTAAACGGGATTATGTGAACTTGAGGAGCAGACACTGTTCATCTTCCATGCATTGTTACTTTATTTGTATCGAAGAATAACTAATTTGTTGAAACTGTGTATTGCTACAATTAGTATTTCACTTTTGCTACACTAGATTTAAAAATTGGGCATGTCATGTTGGCAGTGTCAATAGCCTGTTAAGTTTTCATAAATTTATTTTATGTAAATAATTAATGTGGCACTTATAATATGGCCTTTTCATGTTTACAGGTTTTGAGCATTGATTTGTCCCGTGGGATGGAAAATCTTAAGTGTACTGGCCGCACTGATGTTACGCTTCATGGTTCTTTTGCTGATATGGCTTTATTATCCAGTGATTGCCATAAAGAGGGAGCTTGTAATATGCTATTTGTATTAACAAGTTCTGGACAACTGGATCTTTATGACAATGATTATTTGTCTTCTATGATGTCTCAGCAAGAAAAGAAGACTTCTGTTCCCGCAAATGCAATGTTGTATCCCATCCTCATACCCACTCTTGAACCACGCATGACAACATCAAGGCTTGATGTGGTATGTCAAGAAGTGAAGTCATTTAAAGCCCTGTTCAAGGTAATGCATATATATTAGGTCTCAGGATTTTTCTCTCTCCATGTTTAGCTGTTAACCTTGTTGCTAAATGTTCTACAATATTAAGTTTGCATTAACAACATCTTTAATTTTTTTTAATGATAAAATGTTTGATTTTCACAACTCAACGGTAATAATAGCAAACAATGTCTGTGTAGATTCTTGTTGATACAAAGCATCGTTCAATAGAAAATCAGAAAAGTCTTGGTATAAAGTGGCCTTTGACTGGTGGTGTTCCAGGTCTGTCTTTCAAAGAAGACCATCCTATCATTCAAATATACATAACAGGTTACCAAGATGGGTCTGTTCGGATATGGGATGCCACATATCCTGCTTTTTCACTTGTTTACAATATAAAATCTGAGGTTTGCCATCAGGTTATTATACATTATACAATCTTTTATCCAGTGATTTTTTACCCACCCATGTATTTGTATATGATTGAAACTCATACTGGAGACATATGTTAGTCCATCATGAATTTTTTTTATTTTATTCTTTTTGCAATTGGCAGGTTAATGATGTTAAAATTGGCAATGCAAGTGTGCCAGTGTCAGCATTAGGTTTTTGCCCTGATACTCTACATCTTGCTGTTGGCGATGAAAGTGGTGTTGTAAGATTTATTAGTATTTAGCATTTTTCATCCTCTTCTTATTCAATTAAGTCTTGAGTGCCTGGTAATTGTATCCTATGGGAATATGTAGGTTCGTCTATATGGGCTAATAAGGAGTTCAGATGACACCACTTTGCACTTCGTCTCAGAAAATGGAACTGAAGGTTGAACCACAAACAAAACATTTGAAACCTATTTTGTTTGCATGCCCATTTGTGAATTGTGATAACATATAGAGTGTTTTCCAAATCTTGGTCCACCTTGCTACCATCTTTTTTTTTCAAAGTTGGATATAATTACTCTTCAGAACTTTACTGTTAAAACAAACTTCTTACAACAACCAACCAATACTTTTCACATTAGGTAGGGTTGGCTCTATATAAAATGATGCCTTAGTATTTTATTGTAAATTGTGTCCTTAGACGAATCTTTGGCTAGTGCACCAGCTTGGGATGTGATGTCAGAATGGAAGAATCTTTAGTTTGGGCTCTTCTCTTCCCTGAGTATCACGGGATTGGTTTATTTACTTAATTAATTATAATGTATTCATAAGGGAAAAAAAATTAAAATCTATGCAAAAATATTACTTCTGCTGATTTACCCTAAGCCTATCATCCAATATTTTCTACATGAAAAATGCTTCCACCTGAGTTATGAGAATCTAGACAAGTGGACATCAACCATCAAACATGGAACCTCACACACATAGTGCGAGGAAGAATAATGGCATTCATTAACTTGTATATCGGCTAGGAAGTTAGGATCATAATGTGCTTATATATATAAATAAGCTATGTTTAGTACAAGTGCAGTACCACACAAGTGTTGAGATTTCCATTGAAATACTTTTGTTATAATTGTAAATCAGTTTAATTCTATCAACAATCTCAAACACGGCAAGTATACCGGCCGTTCAAGTAGTAAAATTATCGTATCCACAGGGATTAATAGGTAAAATAAGCATTTATTGATTATTCGTGACTAAAGAATAATTCCAATTTGTAGTTTGTCATGTGAAGATTAATTGAAGAATATAACTACTGGAATGTTAACTATAAAAGTATTTGGTTGAGTGGAAAAGGGTAGAAATGGTATTATGATTTTTGTGAGATTGTGGGGTAAGATTTAAACAAAAGTAAGAATAATGAACAATTAATCTCTTGTTACATACATTGATTAGTCAACTCATAAGTTTACTCAAACCTAATCCCTTAGAGCAAGAGTGTAGGTGCGGATATTGAATATCAATTCCTTGAGTACCCAATATCTACACCCGCATTACGGGCTTGGGTTTAAGACTACTAATGGGCCAAGCTCCATTCCTAGATACATTTCCCACTAGGCAGTTGTTTCAGAGCTAGATTCAATGATTATTTTCCAACACCCAATGGAACCTATATCATGCAAAGGAGATTCAATCCAAAGCAAACATTAAGAATAGAAACATACACAACAATGAATGAACAACATGTATATATATATCATTGAAAACGTAAGGATTACAATAGAATTCGTTGGTTACATCTAACCCCACAAAACAATGGGTAGAACCACTCAAAACAATGAGGGTAAACACAAAATAGAGATGAAGAGAGAATGAAGAACCGAAGGAAAGACCCACACACGAACGGCCCCAAGCTCCGGGAATCCCTTCCTCAGCTCCTAAAACGCGTCCAATGTGTGAATGAGGAAAAAGCCCTCGAAAATGTCTTCAAATACGAGCTTGGGGAGTCAGATTAGGGTTACGCGCCCGACACATAAGTCTTTGCGCCCAGCGCAGGGCCTTCCAGAGAAGTTGAGCACTATCTGCCTCAGGACACGCCCGGCGCAATTTCCTTTTACGCCCGGCGCAATGTCTTCCAGAGAGTTTAAGTCACTCTCTGCCTCAATCACGCCCGGCGCGGGTAGTCTTGCGCCTGGCGCATATATGACTTGCAGAGATAAGGCACTCCGTTCTGCTCAAGCCCGGCGCGGGTCATCTTGCGCCCGACGCAGTCACTCTTTTATGCTCCTTAGCTCCTTAGGTTTTCAATCCTATGGGTCTTCAATCCTCAATTCTCTAGCTCAATACCTGCACAAAAATGAGGTGTATTAGGGTATTGTTAGCTAAATTATGGGTTAGCTATATTTGCACACAAAATGAACCAAAAAGAGAACAATTTTATTGCAATGGTTCAAAGAATGAGTGAAATTGTTCAACAAGTCTTGTCCAAAAAGAAGTGTAATTGAAACTTAACAACAAGACAACTAGTATAAGCACAGTCGACACACTATAATAGTTTTATTTTCTAACGAAGGGAAAAAATGCCTGGTTGGATGCACAGGCATCCGGTTGATTGAGAAAGACTATAGGAATATAACTTTGTATAGAGTCTTTGATTTAAATTAAAAGCTAATATACATTTTTTATCTTCTATTTTTGTTAATCTTCAATATTAATCCTCTTATTTTAAAAGTACGAAATTTTGATTCTGTCATTAGTCTTTTATTTTAATAATTTGGGGAATTAAATGTCTCCCGTTTAAGATAAAAGAATTAAAATTGTGGACTGACAAAAATATGACCAAAAGTACAATTTAATCGAAACTAAAATATTTCAATTTCACTACTAGTCCTGCTTTTCTGCAACCTGTTTCAAATTTATTGGGAGCTGAGACAACATGTTTTGCTGTTGCAGAAAAAGTAAACAAATTGAAAAGGCTGATTGGGTTTTTCTGTAAAGATACATTCTTTGCACCATTTTTTTTACCACTTACCCAATAGTTGGCCCAATCCAATGCATTGATATGCCCCCTGTCTTGGTGGAATTTGTAGAAAAGCTTCTTCCACAAGATTTTTCTCTCTCTCTCTCTACCCCTTTCTTAGCCTTATCAATAAAAAAAGATACTTTGCTGATTTGCTGCCCAATTGCCATGGGGAAGTTGAACAGTTTAATTGACAATGAGCTTACTTACTTTTCATGTATCTGTTTATGCTAAAAGATGATTTCATGTTTCTAATCTCGGATTTTAACCTGTTTTTATCTAATGGGACAGTTCATAATATGCATCAAGGGGATGGACCTCATTGCAAAGCTGTGTTTTCCCTTCAAAATTCTGCTGTATGTGGCCTACAGTTTGCAAACCTTGGAGGGACGCTTGCTGTTGGGTATGAACATGGGCAGGTGAGATCATGCATTAATTCTTTTCCTTTTTGAAGGAAATAGTTTTTATGTTTTCGGTCACTTGGTTGAGTGGCAGTTTGAATTAAACTAGCAATGAGCTTCCAACTTATATTTTTCTAACCCGCTTTACAGGTGGCTATGCTTGATATCAGTTCATCATCAGTTTTGTCTCTTTCCAAAAATGAAACTAACACTTCTTCGGCAGTTGTTTCTATGAGAGTAAAAATTTTAGAATGCAACTTAAACAATCTACAGGAATCTGTATCTGATATTTCTGACAATCTTGGAATGGGGCTAGTCTTTGTTATGACAAGGGATGCACACTTTGTTGCAATAGATACCGTGACAGGGAATACAGTTTGCAATAGGACAATGAGCCCTAAAGAAAAATCAAATGCAATTTCAATGCACATTATAGGCATGTATTTTGGATGAGAAAATTAGATATTATGATCTGTCACCAATTTTATTACTTATGATGCTGTTTTATTTTAGATGGTAGTACTTGTGATCAATCTGCTGAAAAACTGTCATCCAACTCACCTCAGAAGAGTGATTGTGGAATGCAAGCTAACATCCAATCTGAAAATGCACAAGTTGAAGTTGCAATTGCTACTACCATAGAAAATTCACATTTTGGGCAGATAATATCAAACTCGCTCATTTTACTTTGTTATGAGAGTGAATTGAGTTTACACTCTTTAAATTTTGTGATGGAGGTGCTGGTCTTTACATCTATCTTCCTTCAAATTTCAACCCATTCCTTTCTACTGGTTAATGAAATTTCCTAATAACAGGGTAGTAGCAAGTACGTACGGAAGCTGAACCTTGTTCAACGATGCTGCTGGACTACAACCTTCAAGAAAGACGAGAAAGAGTGTGTTTTGGTTCTTCTGTATCAAAGTGGAGACATTGAATTAAGGTCAAGTGCTTATATGAATATGTGTTCTTCTCATACTTTGGCCACGGTGACATTACTCAGTTCATAAGTGGAACTGGAATCACATTTGAATGAAAATAGCCAACACAACATCGCAACGCAACCCCAACCCTTTTAAAAAGAAAAAGAAAAATTGAACTTTTTTTCTTAATAAATAAAAAATGAACTTTTGATGGCCTTTATAAATTAAATTGCTATCCTTCAAATAAATAGTATTTTATGGAGTTTCATCAATTTCATATTATTTTTGACTGGGACTTGGATTACCCCACATCCCAATATTAAAGTCCCAGTTTTGCTGCATGAAAAGTATTTAATATTTTGTTCTCCTGATTGTTTATTCTTTATACTCTGTACGAGAAATACACTTTTGGCTCTGAATCTGTAGTAGTTATTCTAGAATCTGTAGTAGCTTTGATGGATGTTATCTCACATTGAGCAGGTCCTTGCCAGCTTTGGAAGTGTTGGGAGAAAGCTCTTTAATGTCAATCCTCAGATGGAACTTAGAAACCAACATGGAGAAGATGATATGTTCTTCATCAAATGGAAAAATTATTATGGTTTGAATTTTTTAGCCTTTTTCAAATGAAGTTATTTCCTTTTATGCTGTAAAAGTTTACATGATTCGTCTGTTATCTTCAGCTTGATATGTCTCCTTACAAATGTTTAGTATTTTGAGTTCAGCATATATCTGTTGGATACTGATTTAGAAAATAAGAATATTAGTTAGATGTTTGGCCCTTGCTACCTTTGTTATTCTAAAAAATAAAAAATAAATAGAAAAGGGGGTAAATTCTGCCCCCCCACTAGGCATAATAAAATATAGTATATTTTATCTTAAGTTGGAGGGAGTGTAATTTTTTTTTTGAAGTAGAGGCGAGGACAGTGTAATTTGAGCATAATGTAAGTTATCCAAAAAAATTGGATTTCAGCACCACTAGTTGGCAGTGCATAGTCCATGCTTCAGATAATGGCTCGTGTTAGGGTGTTGGATATACAACCATTTGTAAGTTTTCTTCTAGCAGCTTAAGATTTTGGGAGAGTGAGTTCAATATAATCCACAATTAAAACCATCATACATTTACCTTTAATGTGTTTAGGATCCTTCAAAAAGTTTTTGTACAGGAAGGGCAAGAAAACATGTTACATGCATAATTCCTAGCGTTCCTACAAATGAAGTTCAAGGTTCTTTTGGTTTAAAATCAAACTCATGGCTATCTTTTTTTATAGGTCAATGGGAATGAAATTGCTTGCATATCACTGTGGAACTGTGAAAATGAGTTATGGTAGCTTCATCATTCCTCCCTTTTCTGGCCATATATGTTTTATTAGCAATTAGACGTCAATTCTTAACCCCACAATTTAGAGCACTATTCTTCATATTCCAAGTATCCGATTAAATGTTTCACCATAACAGCTTATGACAAAATAAATGAAATCAAATTTGAGGGCTGATATAAAAGAGGACCCGGGACAACCCTCAGGTGGTTGCTGAATGTTATCAACCTCTACAGAAAATGCTTGAGAAAATTATATGTAGTCTATCTCATTTTTTTTTTTTTACTTTAGTATCAGTATCTTAAGACTTCGTCTTAGACTAATCTGGTCTAGTCAGAAGGTAAATAAAGTTTGGCCAAGTATTGTTTTCACCAAAGATTAAATTTAGACAATGTTTGAACGATTCGACCTTGAATTTAACACATTAGTTTTAGTTTGTCTGTATAATCTATCTCCATAATAATTAGAACTTTGGTTTCCAACATGAACTTCCAAATTCTTGTAGGATTCCAGAGTCTTTTCCTTGTCTCCATGATGAAGTTCTTGCAGCTGCTGTAGATTCTACAGCAAGTCTATCACCAAACCAAAATGAAAGACAGGTCTAGTTTGTTCAGGCTTGCAGTGCTTTTCTCCCATTATTTTTTTCAGGACTTGTAATTCAACTTATCTTGCTATAGGGAGCTTCTGCTATCTTTGTTAATATAGCCAAGAACTTTAAAATGGGGAAAGCCGATCAGCATGCAAATCAAGCAGTTCATGCTAATAGATTGGAGAATTTAAAGCAAATATTCTCCAGTCCTCCCTTCTTAAAGTCTTCCTCGAGTACAGTAGATAAGCTAGATGCTTTTGCGCTTGACATAGGTTTGTCCTTAACATTTTCTTCTGCCAACTATTCTTTACTAGTTACTTTCTTAAAATATTACCTCATCTTTTGCAGATGACATTCTGATTGATGAACCTGTTGTAGTCTATTCATCTCCTAAGAAAAACGATATTGATAAGAGAGGTACAGATATTGTTTTATTTTCTCCATAAAGTATTGAATGATTTTATCTTCTGATTATTGAATGGTTGCCTTGCAGATAAAGGTAAAGGAACAGAGAGACAGAAATTATTTGAAGATGCAAGCACCGTCTCAAAACCGAAAGTTAGAACGGCTGACGAAATTAAGGCTAAATACAGAAAGACTGCGGGGGTAAATCTTAGATCTGAAAATTCTGTATTTTAAGCATTTTAGCTCACGTCTTGACCTGGTCATTTGTTTCAGGATGCCTCCACAGCAGCTGCACTTGCAAAGGATAAACTTATGGAGCGTCAAGAAAAACTCCAGGTAGAGTATTATTCGACTTCTTTCTCCATTACCCGTATCATATTTTTCACAATTTCAAACCTCTTCTCTCCAAGGAACATAAAAATCCGAATCACCAAAAACAAACTCCATTTGTTAGAAGTTTCTAAAAATAGACGTTGTTTGTTTCATTTAAATAGATGATAGGTTCGGGTTTATCTTAATATGATTGAGGGTCCCATTGACCCGTTGAAGTCTGTAGACACACCTAGCAGCATGATTTACGACATATTCTGATTCCCAACTCTCAATTTCATTGACCACTTTGAGACATCAAAGTATTTTTTTACTTCTATTTCCCAAATGTTTATATTGATTTTCTATCTAATCATCTCTTGCCAATTGCATGGTTTATCCCAGCTGCTCAATGAACGTACTGAAGAGTTGCAAAATGGGGCACAAGATTTTGCATCCATGGCAACTGAACTCCGTAAAAGAATGGAAAATCGTAAATGGTGGCAGTTATGATTGGGTGCATGGTTTTCTTATTTTCATCGATACGTCCCGTTATGCTCGTTTCGAAGTTGAAGTTCTGGACTGTAGAAGTAGCCTCACTTTTTTCAAAAGCAGCTCTGATTCCATTGCTTGCTTAGTGTTTGTAAACATGTTTGGTCTCACATGTGCATGTAATTATTCTTATAATTTTATTTTTATTACACGCATATAAGTGTATTTATAGCGTGTTCAGAAACTTGTTGAGAATGAAAGAGTCACCTACGCTATTAATTATTGTGTACTTATAACGCAATTTTGTATAAGCTTCAATAAATAGCATGCTGCATAAAGCATGTGAAGGTAAATTGAGATTTTTTTAAAAAAATCACAGATGAATTAAATGTGAAAGAATATCAATATTTTTTTTTCCTCAAAACTAAAAATATGTATTATAGTCGATTAATAACTCAATGTGACGATGGGGGATATTTATCTCGATTTATACATATAATATTAATATCTTCCAGCACAAATCTGCATAAAACTTTATGTTTATACATTTTTACCTTGTCTATTTTTCTAATGTGCCTTCAACATTATCCCTTTCAAATTTAAGCATGTGGGTTGCTGAACTTACAAAACCAACTCTAAACCAACTCATTCTCCCAAGGACCCAACTACCTTCAGGGACCATTGGCCGCCTGTGCGCCACATAACCCTCTAATCTGGATAACAATGTTTCCCGACATTACCTTCATTTCGAAGCTGTATCTTTCTAAAATAATGGCATACATTAATAAAGTCTTCCAAATATCTAATGAGAGCAATTTTTATGCTTAATTATTTTAAAATAAATCTAAATCAGAATTATTTCATACCATTCTTTTTTCATTCCGCTTTCCTTTTCTTTATTGAGGGTCATTGATGACTTATATAAAATCTGTAAATATCGTATCTGTACATATAATTGCAGTTTAATGAGATGAAGAAAATTTACACATTTTTTTTATTCTATTGCATTCCAAGTCCCAACAAATGCTCTGGAAAAAGAAGCAGCAGGTTAGTCATCACCAGTTTTTTTTTTCCTAAAATATAAAATATAACCAACTAAAGGGACATACTCTAATTTTCTTTCTTTATCCTTAGATATAATAAAAAATTATTATGAAATAAGTAATTAATAAAATTGAATAAATAGAAAATTTACTTTGATCTCAAGAAACTGGTATGGAAGATAATATCATTGATTAAAAAAAACTATAAAGTGTCTAACAATTCTCGGTATTATGTAAACCAATATATATATATATATATATATTGGTACTCTCCTCGATTGATCTAAATTGATTAATTGATTGCGAGACATGAATTGTGAGCCTGCAAGTTCGATCTCTTGCAGTTTGTTTGATTCCTTTATCATTCTCTTGTAATCTTATTCCCTTGGAAAATAAAAATACTTCTACAGTTCTTTCACGTGGAGTACTCTTATTGGATTATTATTTTGTTTCAGACAGTATACCCCCTCATTTGACATTCTTCGTATACCTTTTAATGGTGGTTTAATTTTATCTTTAAACAAGAACAACACATCATGTTTTTTCTTCTACTCATAAGAAAACACGAAGCCATCATGTTTGACTAGGTTGCCAAGTTATATCCGAAGAATTTGAACCTTTCATGCTTACGTTTACTCATCGCAGCCGGCGCATGTCCATTTACGCTGCTAATTTTCACACGTACAAGGACAGCAAAAACAGTATAAAACCACACATTTTTTTATTATTACGTACGATTGTGTTTATTATATATAAGATGATTGTGTTTATTATATAGAAGCCGAGATGAATAAACAAGAAGTATTTTGACAATGAAAGTACTTCGCAACAACGGATACGCATTGATCAAATGGCATAACAATATATATATATATATAAAGAATTGTGCTACTTAATCAATGACAAACACCTTGGGTCCACTTGCTACAGAAAATACATTCACCCCCGTAGAGAAAGAGGGGGGAATAAATTATAAATTATATTATTATACAATAAAAAAAAATTCAGCATCCTTCTTCCAACTTTTCTCCAAGTCTTCTCTGATCTAGAAGTTGAAACTCCGTTCAAATCTCTGGATTAACCTGAACTTTGTTCTTTGCAACATAAGATCTCGGCCTATCCCTATCTATACTCTTGTGTAATGTTGGATAGTTGTCGCAGTTCAAATTAATAAAATCAATAAATAAATTAATAAACTTTTGTCAGCATAACCAAGAAGCATTGCTATGGTAGCCCTTACTCATGCTACCATCTGCTCCTGCTCTATGTACAGCTGCTCCCCCCATGGTGAAAGCATCTCTTTACCAAATATCTCAGAACTCTCAGAGGGAACATCTTTAACCAATGAATGAACCCATGAGACATCAGGCTCAACATGTTCTGGCTGTGCTATGGGGGATGCAGTCACCCCATTGTTTCTGAACCCAAATGAAGCAGATTTCCTCAGCTTGTTCAGCTCGTCTCCGTTTACACCCCAATCGAGTTTCCCGGTGGGGGAACTCCAATCTGAAAGGGCAGAGGACACCCTACAGGAAGGGTTGGAAGGTGAAGACAGCCCAAAATGGTGGGTTGCAGCTCCACGGTCGATGAAACTTTGGCTTCGCTTTGCAAAAGCAGCCGACCTGGAATTCATCACCGCAGCGGCCACAGCAGCCGATGAGTCAAACCCATATCCTGCAGGCTTCCTCACAGGAGAGGAAGGGATGTTGGATGGATAACTGGCGCGAAGGTGGTTCATGTTTTGGCGCATTTGAAGGCTGCTTGGAGATTGTTGCAACTGTGTAGGTGTTGAAGGTTGCACCGAAAGTCCATGTAGTTGAGATAACACACAAGGGTCAGCAGATGCTAACAGGTCATCAAGGTTAGTTGGACTCATGTCAACAATCCTATTGAATTCCTTGCTCCGGAAAGAGGGGGAAGAGATCCTGGCAATCTCTTCTATCAATTGTTGTTGTTGTTGCTGTTGTTGACGAGCCGGGCTTTCTAGACCTAGCAGTTCCATCTCCAGATCCAGATCCCTGGCATTCAAAGCTGACTTCAACCGGCTACCCTGGAGCTGCAGGGATGGTGGAGTGAGGTTTATTTTGTTCTGCCACAGGTTTCCACTCTTGGGAGAGGAAGCAGCTGCCAAGGGAGACATGGGTGGGGTTGAAACAGTTGGCATAGGCAAAGATGTTGAACTAAGAGCCAATGGACTCATAGCACTCATGTCAAGTCCGCTAGCTGAATAGGATTTCGGCGAAGGCATAGCCGACCCAGTGGAAGCATACACCGGGCGCAGCTCTTCAGGTTTGTGAGCAAAGAAGCAGACTTTTCTAGTGCAACCAGTCTCATCCTTGCAAAGCCTTGTTCGGTATTGGGCCGGATGGAGCCATGACTCAAAAACACCATGAGCATACTCGCAGGAATCCCCCTTCTGGCAGGTTCCCTTGCGAAACTCAGGGCAAGGAACACAGCTATAAGGGTATTTCCTTGGGTCTCTCCTCCTTGCATTCTCCCCTGGATGAACAAATGGACACTCAGTCCAGTCATGGGAGTAAGCCCTCGAGCATGGCTTCACCTTGAAGCTGTACATCCTAAACTCATCCGATCCGTATACACCGTTGTTTATGTCCGGCAACGATATGTCAACAGGATATTCTTTCTTATCACTTCCTTCCTTTTTCTCAGCACCTTCTTTGGATGAGAACATCTGCAGCTCCATCTCCTGGCTCATGAGTTCATCCCTTTCCTCACCTCTGAGGAACAACTCCATAGCCTTCCTTCGCGATTTGGACGATGAATCGAAGGCGGGAGCAATCAGATCAACCGGCTTATTGCCCCTGGCGTCAAGGCATTCAGCATCAGCACCAGCGTCAAGCAAGAGCTTGACAATCTCAAGTGAGGATTCAGAGCCCCCAGCAACAGCACAATGGAGAGCAGTGGCCCCATCAGAACCACAGACCCTGTTTACATCAACACTTGCTGCCTCAAGAATATAGTTGACCACCTTAGTGCTTCCAAACAAAGAAGCAATCATGAGAGGGGTCCTTGTTTCGGATCCCATCTTCTTTGACCCAATTTTTCTACCATACCAAAACCCTGCCTCGTTCACATCCAACCCCTTCTCATCCACTTCTCTTTTGAAAGCTTCAAAATCATCTGATGCAGACAATTCCAGCAGAACTGAGAAGTTGTAGAGACCATCTAGATTCTGCTTCTGAAGATTACCATTCTCCATGACGAGGTTTGGCGAAGAAAGCTTACTCTTTGAATCACTGCACATGCCCCAAATCCTGCAGAATAAGATAGCATAATTTCAATAAGCCTATCAATTTTAAAAAAAAAAAATTATTCACACAGAAACAGAAAAATAATTAAACGTCCAATTCACAAGCCAAAAATCCCGATTTCCATCAATACCCAACAACAATTAACAACCCTTGTTCAAAATCCCTAAAGAAGCACGGGTAGGTAACGTCCCATGAAACTTTGTTACACCAATTTTACCAACAAATATCAGATCCACAACTAATACCATCCAAGACAACAACTTGGTGTTCCAAACCTCAACAGGAAACATATAAAGTAGCTAAAAACCAAACAACTACCAAAGCTTAAAACTTTGATCTACCCACAAAACATATTCCTGAGAACCCACCGAAAACAACCAAAGATCAAAACAAAGAAGAGGCAAAAGAGCTTTTTTTGAGTGAGTGAAAGCGCGAAAAGAAGATAAAAAAAAAAAATACCTTTTGAGTAGTAGGGAGGGAGTAGTATGAGTGAAATGGTTGTAAGAAAGCGTGAATGAAAAAATCGAGAAGACCTCGATTGAGCAAAGATGAGGGAGAAAGGGGGGTAAGGGTTGCCCTTTTTATTGTCACAGACTCACAGCAATCAGGAAGAAGGGAGGAAAGTGTGACTTTTCTTCCTCACTCTTTCTCTCTCTCTCTCTCTTTGGTCAAAGTCAATTATTCAATGCTCAAGCTAGGGCCCAGGGGCAGCGTTTGCTTAATGTCACTATCTTCCTAAATGCAAATGCAAATGCAAATGCAAATGCAAACGCAAACGCAAATGAAACTCCAAATGACGCTCAAATGCAACTCAAATTTCCCCTGGACCCCACCCTCCATTACAACGGGCGCTTCACTCTCTCACGTGCGCTTTTCAGTTGTCATCCTCTTCACTACGCGCTAGACCACACTACCTTCTTTTTTCCTTTTCTTTTTCTTTTTCTTTTTTTTTTTTCATTTTCATTTTGTTAAAATATCAATTTGCAATTCCATGCTCAAAATCTTTTTGCCAACTTCTTTATAGTCATCATGTTCGGCCCGTTATAATGGATAAGAAAGCATTATAAAAACAAATGGTTTGAAGAAGTTGCAAAGAGTGTGAGATTTTGACGCGCAATCATTTCCTAAGAAGATTATTGCACCTCACTCACATATTTATCCCATCTAGTCTTTTTAATATTTGCACATGCTCAATTTTTAAATCCAGCAAAACTAGACATTCATGCAACACAATTAGTTCATGGGTCAAAGAGTAAGGTCACGTAAAATCTAGCTAAATCGCGGAACCACAAAAACAAATTCGTGTACCAAGATAATTATTTTGATCAAATTAAATAAAGTATGAACTAGTCAAGATAAATTTATTTAAATAAATTATAAGACCCTTAGTATTGTGGTATTTCATTCTCTAGAAGCCTTACTACTAAATTGATTTGGAAGGGGATAGTTAATATTAAAGAATTGAAAGTGGAAAATAAGTAATGAAAGGTGATTGAAGATGGTAAAGTGAGGGAATCGAGTTGGTTGATTTTATATTGTTAGCACTTAGCGGGGTGTTTTAAAATAATAAATAGGATTGGAGAATGGTTGGGACCACAGTAGAATGCGTAATGCAGTTGAAGGCATTAATAGTTAGAAGTTAGAACGCGTTTTCTTTTGGGTTTTTGTATTTTATATTATATAATGTATTATGCATGCTTAAGTGAGTGGGTCGCAGTTGGGTGACAGACAGAGGGATAAGTTCCTGATTCAGCCTTCCACTATACCTTCCTAATTCCTATTACTATTACTCTCTTCATAAAATATCTAATCATATTTTATGCCTCCAACACTAATATTTTATTCACAAACTATTAGTATTATTCACATCCTCCTTAATTTGCCTTTTTGTATCAATAAGGATTTTGGCTTACTCTTCCACCTTTTATCACTCAAATTTTGAAGATTTGTAATGTTTGTTATGTTTAATGTTTATGTTTATTGTGAAATTAATGAATTTTTTCTTAATTTTGTTACGCATTAATGACTAATATCAATTCATAAAATAACACGTTTTATATTAACGTTTAAAAGTTCTTCACTTCAAATCTGGTTGTTGTGAGAAATTTGGGTGGCCAACCCCGATTTCTTAACAACATTTATAAAAAAAAAAATCAACACTTCCCTTGCAAAATCGAGATTGAGGAGTGGGACTTTTCTAAAACATAGTAAAATGTCCTAATTTAATAAATATTATACAACTTGTGCTATCAATATGCATATTTATTTTTTATAATAAAAATTAAAAAAGTCACATAAACATTTATAGAAGTAATATCTTCACCATTTTCATAAAAATTGAACGATTACGTGTAAAATTTGAGGTTCCCTAACTATAATTCTGAATACCAAAATTTTTAAAATTTTAAAGGTATTTATTTTAACTTAAATTTTAAAATAAGAAATTATATTTTAATTTAAATATTTAATTTTAGGGGAGCGTATTGGTTTAGAATTTCGTAGGATTTTAAAAGACTTTTTTTGAGTAAAAAGTTCATTGGTATTCAATCAGGATTTTATGTCACTTAAAAACAATCTAGTGGTATTCAATCTGAATTTTCAAGATTTTTTAAAGAGTCCATTAAAATTCATTGGTATTAATTTGAGATTTTTTACAACTTAAAAATAATTCATTGGTATTAAAAAATATAAGGATTTTAAAGGATTGTTGTGTGTGGGAGATTTTGAAGGAATTTCTAGTGTTATTTATAAATACCAAATTCATAAAACAATCCCATCCAAACCCATCGGATTTTGAAAGATTGTTTGAAGTGACTTTTCAAGAATTTTCAAGTGAGTTTTTCATTTTTTTTTCTATGCTCCTGTCTTCTCCATTTTTTCTCTACTAATAATACTGCACTATTGTTTATTGCTCATATAATATTGTAGTACTGTTCTCATCTCATTCTCCTATTTTGTGAAACTCCAATATGTAAATGATAGTATCATTGACTTGCTCTATTTTTCTGTTCGTTCTCTTTAATTGGCTTGCTTTATTTTATTCTATGTAGTTGAATTTGTTCCTTTATATAACAAAAAAAAATGCTTGAAATTTCAATTTTTAAGTGATATTTTTTTATAACACAAGTCAAGAAAAAAAAAGGTGAAAGATGAAATTGATATCATAATCTCTACAATATATATATATATATAAGATGAATTTGTTAGGGTTTCTGTGAGTAGAATGAGATGAAAATGGATCTTAGTTGGGGGAAGAACCCTCTCAGCATAAAAACTGCGAACTCTCTCATTCCCTTGAATTTGTTACTCTTATCCCTCCTTTTATGACTCAACAATTATTTTATTTTTTTTACTATGAATTTTTCTTTTT